TTTATTTATTTATTTATTTTTTATCCTCACCGGAGGACATTTTCCCATTTTTTTGTTCAGGTAGAGTGAGAGGGAGAGAGAGGAACAGAGAGAGAGAGAGAAACATCGATGTGAAAGGAACACATCGAGTGGCTGCCACCCGCACAACCAACCAGGGCCGGGGACAAACTGCAACCGAGTACGTGCCCTTAGCGGGAACCGAACCCGGGTCTCTCAGGACTGCAGGCGGACACTCTAACCGCTGAGCCAAACTGGCCAGGGCTGTTTTTCTCTTTTTTTTGGATGAATTCTTATAAATTATATTTTTCTAAAATTTATCCATTATTTTCTAGGTCTTCAGTTGAGCAAAATAGTTTCCTATTTATTTATTTTTTAAGTTCTTCTGTTTTGATGGTTTATTAAGTATTTCCATCTTGTCATTTCTAATTTGCACTCTAATTTCTTTTAATTAGGTTTTGTTATTTTTATTATTATTATTTTTTAAGGTAACATAGTGGCATTTATTGTACTTTTTCCCCCCCTTTATTGATTTTAGAGAGAAAAGAAGGAAGAGGGAGAGAGAGAGAGAGAAACATCGATGAAAAAGAACATCGACTGGTCACCTCCTGTGTGCCCCCCACTGGGGATTGGGCCACAACCTGGGCATGTGTCCTGACCGGAAATCGAACTGGGGAGCTCTTGGTGCATGGGTCAATGCTCAACCACTGAGCCACACCAGCGGGGCCTTTTATTATTTTTAGAAAAACAGCCCTGGTCAGTTTGGCTCAGCGGTTAGAGTATTGGCCTTGGATCTAAGGGCTGAGGGCTCAATTCATGCCCCAGTCAGGGGTCATGCAGGAGGCAACCCATCACATTGATGTTTCTCTCTCCCTCCCTTCCACTACATCTTAAAAAAATCAATGGAAAATATATTTTTTTAACGTGTTTTGCTTTACAAAACTTACTGATTTTAGCTTTTATCATTGTTAATTTCTATCTTCCATTTTTTTTTAAATCTGCTTTTTCTGGCTTACTTTTAAAGATATTTGCTTTATCTGCCCACAATATTACATTATCATTATTACTATTTTCAATAAAATATGTAAATTATTTTGTATTCCTCTTTGACCAAACAGTTTATATAATGACATGGTTTATACCTCTAGGTTAAAGGGCCTTCTTGTTTTCTGGTTTTATTATTAAGTTCCATTTTCATTGCATTTCAGTTAGAAAATACTTTTGTGGTACATCTGTTCTTTAGAATTTCTTGAGGGTGTTTATCACGTCAGATGTGATATATTTTGTGAGTATTCCATATGCCCTTGAGAAAAAAATTGCATTTTTTATTATTGAATTTCAGAGTTCAAAACAGATTTATAAGTTCTGTTTTATGAATTATGCTCTGTATGTCTCCTATAAATTTTCAATAGGTAATCTGTCTTGGATTTTAAAAAATGAACCAAAGTAACCTATTATTAATATGCTTCTTTCTATTTCCTAGCAGTCCCTGCGGTTTCTTCTTGAAATATATTTTGTACACTTTTTATTTTTAATTATTTTTCCTTGTATAATTTGTCCATTCTTTTATTGTCAACCTTTCCAAATCTCTTTATTTTTAGTTGTGTTTCTGATACAGAGAAAAGTGTTAAATTTTCCTGTGTCAGCCAATTTGAAAATACCTATATTTTAACAAGTAAGTTATATCCATATATATATATATATATATATAGATATAATCAATATTTTTGGACTCACTTATATTTTAAAAGTAATATTTATATATGTGAGTCTTTTATATAAAGTTTTTCACTGTGTCCCATTTTATTGTGCTCTCATATTTCTAGGGGAGTTTTAATTTTTATTATTATGGTTATTTTTATAGTAATATTTTTATCTAAAAACCTTGGTCATCTCTCTTTTCAGCTTTTGCCTTTATTCTTTGGTAAAAGATTTATTAGATTTAATTGGTAATGTTTTCTTTTCCTTCGTCTTCATGTCCCCAAGCAACTATTTGTTGTAATATCCCTTTTATTCCCAGTTAATAGCTTCGAAGCAATCACAAACTCATTTAAAATTTTATATCACTATTGTCCCTGAATTGCTTGATACTTTGTTGTATCTATGTGGTCAAATTGCATATAACACAAGATATCCTCTTTCTTGCCACCATCATTTCGTTTTAATTCTAAATGTATAGTCACACCAATTCTCATAATGATATTTCTCAGTCATTTTGGCTGCCTGAAGAAACTCATGCAGTAGCTTTCTTATGACGTGTTCATGAGAACAACATTCCCTAATTTTTACTGTAGTTTATTTTCAGCCTTTATATGTAAAAGTCTGTTCAAATGGATATTAAATTCTTGATAATTTCCCTTTATCTCTTGCAAGCTGAGCTATGTTATGTAGATAGAGTCTCTGTTTATGACACTTCTTAAAGAAATTGTTATGCTGTAACCTCAATGTAGATTATATATATTTATAATACATATATCATCAACATAATATTTACACAATACATATTTTGTATATATGCATGTATGATATTAAAATTCATATATAAATATTTACACATAACATTTATGTATTAATTGCCAAAATAGTAGGAGCAAGATCCGGGATTCAAAGAAATAATATTCGTTGGTAGGTGCAATATTTTCCTCACTTGTCCCTTGAACTTCCTGATCTTTTTTTTTTATTAATTTGTTTTTGTTACAGATGTTTCTCCTTCATCTCCATGTCCTTCTTTATAAGTTGCTCTTTACACATATCTCATTGCTTTGTGCTACATTTTGTTAGAAATATTTCTATGTTTCTTATTGTGATGTGATTTCTTTGAGGGACAGAGACTACATTTTCTTCCACTACGGTAGCCCAACACATTGCCTAGAAACTCATTTGAATTTGTTTAATTAAAATAGGATCTGAATTTCAAAATACATGTATGAATTATTTTTCAAGCATAAGTAGGATAGAATAGTGATGATTTTATTTCCTAGTGAAGATGTGAGAATTGTTCAGAGCAAAAGTTTAGCAAATTTCATCTTATCTTCTGAGTATCACTGAACATACAAAGTCATGAAACCATGAACAAGCATAATAAGTCCTAGAACTCCAGGTAACCAGGCAAGACTGGAGCAAAGGATATGGAGATGAATGCACAAAGAAACTAGGGGCCAGATTATGAAATCCTTTATAGGATTTCATTAAGAAATTTGCTTTTATCTTGTTAGCAATGGGAATATTTTACAAAAAGATTTTTGTGTTAGTTGATCCGCCCCCTTCCCAAGAAGAATAAAGAATAGATTGGTGATAAAAGGGTAGTGATGGTGGTCAAAGTGAAGATGGGGAAAGACTAGAGAAATAAAAAATCTGAAAAAGATAATCTAGATCCTAATTAAGAAATTCATAATGAGAAAGGATATCCTGGAGCTATTTAACATATAAAATAAATATGATTTAGAGACTCTAGTGAAAAATAGAATGTTTAGGGTGAGCAAAAGGAATCCTGCTGAGCAAAAGTAATTCTAGTAAATTCCTTATATTCTAGAATTTGATAATTGAATGGTTTTGATACCATTGTAATTAGCTGGTTATTAATAATAGGAAAGAAACAAAGGGAAGGCCAGACATTATAGACATGTCATTTGGGCAGCTTCACCAAGAAGCTGCAACTCTGCACTCCCCAGGGAACCATCAGCCCATTTCTTGCAGATCACTAAGGGAAGAGGTCCAACAAAGAGCAAAGAGAGGCATGCCCAGTGAAGCTGGGGTGACATAGGGAAGGTACATGGCTGTCAGTCAAACCAGGGAACAGAGATCATTGGCCAGAATAGGCAGGGTCACTGGAAGCCCATGAAAATTTGAAGACACATAATCCCTCAAACATATTCTCTCTCTTGGCTCATGGGACTCTCTTGTTTGTGTTTCCTTGCATTCGCCCATGTTTCCTCCATAGCGATGTGGCCCCGCAGGCCCAACATGCAATAAAGTGATGGTCTATAGTGGGGAACACAAGCTAAGCTAGCCTGATGCTGGATTGGACACTGCTCCAATGTGGAACAGAAACGGGACACTGACTCTGATTCTAGCCCTATTAAAGCCACAGCCACACTTCTTCCTTGGTGAGGCAAGGGGAAATGGGACCTCGGAAACTCAGGATGTACTTCCACAGAAATAAAAATCACTCATTCTCCCACGTGAGTCTCAGAAAATTCTTTTTCTCAGGATATTGCAAGAAATCCATTCCAATGAGCAACAGGTGGGGATGAGAACCTCCCACCACCAGTAACAAGTTGCTTGTGCCAATGCTAATATGAAATTTATAGCATGAAAAAGAGATATTCAGGGGGTAGGAATGAAGTTTCGGGGATGACTGTTTTTAAGTACTGACAATTACCAATGATTAAAGGGAGATTTAATTACTCTAATTCTGTTGCAATAATTAACAACTTAAAAAATACTCATTTGATTTTTATGAAGGTAAATAATTATCTCCATTTTAGAGATAAATAAACTGAGGATACAAGTTACATGGCTAGAAATGATCAGAAATTTGACTTAAATATACATGTTCTGACTCCAAGTTCTAAGAAATCGTTGTATAGAAGAGTTGAATCATTCACATAATTTGGAAAGCTTTGTATCATCAGTTAAAAAAAAAAAGGTATCTAGTGACCTCTAATAAATAGAAAGCACAGTTGACGAGAACATTTATCTTATAGCTCACTTCCCAAATGCTGTGATGTCTTACAATAAGTATTTTAATCTGCATGCAGCAGAATCTTCCTCAGGAAGCATTATGACAAAAGTATGAATGCATGCATACTGTAGCAATTATTTTACTCCTTAAACAGTTATATCCAAAAGCGTACTATTAAACTCACAAGTTACCTAACACCCTGTCAAATTTGTTTACCTACAAAGTTTTCACTGTATTTTTCCTGTGGAATTCTGTGTTTCTGAACTCAGAGCAGAAGAATTAGAAAATAAAAATGTTCCTTCTCCAAGTGGCCACTTACCTCTGTTTACCTTTGTGATCCGCAGAGCCAGCTGAGAGTCTGTCCAGGGGAGACCCAAAGCCAGAGAAGCTCCTTTTCTTCTTTGTTTCAATCACTTCATTCTCCAGAGACACAAGTTCATCAAGAAGCATGAGTTTTGCTGCCAGATCAGCTGCGGATTTCTCTTCCCTAGCTGTGGGTAGTGATTGCACATCTCTGATTCCAGCATCAAAAGCCTGTTGGGCATGAAAGGTGATTCCATTCACTTCAAATAATATGCAATCGTATACATTTGGCTTTTGCTATCTTTAGCTGACATGCCCGTCATGAAACTTGATCTCTCATGGAGTTATGATCCAGAGAGTTTTGGGGACAAAACATATTGAGGTGAGGTATACCCAACAGAAATGAAAGGAAAACAAAGCACAACACACACGCGCGCGCACACACACACACATACACACACACCCCAAAACAAAACTCTGTGCCTGCCTGTCAAATTTAGTATATTAACTGAGCATTTTTTTTTTTTTTTTGTATTCTTTCTCGGTAACAACTGCATCCTTCATTGTCATTCCCATTACATTTAGCTATACTTCTCTGATCCTTGCAGTCATTACATTTCCCTTTGTATTAAACTGATTATATTTGCATTGCTTATTAGATTGTGAGTAACTTGAGGGCAATGACTATGTCTAATTAGTCTTTTATTTGCTCAATTCAATTTCAGTATTTTGCTCATAGTTAGTACTCAGTATATTTCTGATAAATATTTATTGAATTTATTCTGAAAAACACAAAACTTCATGTTTTCTTTCACTCCTCACTCATTTCTCACTGATTCAAGCCACTAAGCATTCACTAGGTACCAGGTTCTGCATTAGACCTAAGAGACACATAGATGAACAACATCGAGTAGTCTCTGCCCTCAGGGCTCTTACCATTTTCATCCATGTGATTTATTAGCAAATACTAATGTGTGTCTGCAGTGACTCAGAGCTTTACCAATGACTTTGTTGTCCCATGGAAAATTTCCTGTTTGTTTGTTGCACACGTTGCCCTTTTGTAGCTCATTCAAGTCATAAAAGGATGGCTGTCTAGTTGTGAATTCTGTCTTTTCCTTTCCAAGGCTCAATCACAGTGTTTTTAAAATGGTCCTGTTAGCAATCTCAGGTCATGGCGTAGTCTAGGAGATACTAATCTTCCAGGAGCCTGAGGACATTCCCCTACAGGAAGAAACGTAGCTCCAGGGATCTCTGCCCTTTTCCCCGTTAATCACATTCTTCCATGTGTCAGATTCTTGGTCTAGGCAAGACTCTTTTTCTTCACTTCCTGTCTTTACTATTGAATTATTTCTTCCATTCTCTTTATTTTCTTCAATAAAACAACATAGTTGCCTTTTCCAGCCTTTATATCCTGACTCCAGCAACTCCCTTCTGAAATTCTTCTTCTGACACACAGACTCAAGGCTATTGAGTCTATTTCAATTGTTATTTTAGAGTCAGTAAGTCTGGTTGGTTCTTCCTGGAAAACCTCTTGCCTCTGCTCTTCGTGATTCCCATCAGTAGTGACGTGTATCGGGTCCTCCTCACTGCTAATGTACACATTTAATCACCTCACCACTTTTCTCTTTTATCTCCTTCTCTTTTACATTCTGTTTCGAATGCTGCCATGAAGTTAATTATCCCCAAATGCCACTTCCATTGTATAAAGAGAAAATTAAAAATAGCTCATATCTCTGTGTTCCTTACCGTGCCAAGTCTACAATACAGTTCCAGTTTCCTCTTAAATCTCAACGCTACCACATCCCTGTGCAAGTCTGACAACATAGAAACTGAAGAGGAGGAAAAGTCTGTAATGATGAGGAAAAAACACTCTAAAGAGCAGGAGACAGATTCAAAGGGCGATGATAGGAGATCCTTCATATCTCTCAGAGCACCGTCCAAAAATGTGTGTTCATTCTTCCAGCTGACAAACATACAAAATAGAGTTTTGTTTCTCTTAAAAAATATATTTAATCCTCAAAAAAAAAAAAATCATAGAACTACTCATACGGACTTGCTCTTTGGTAAATGCACTTCAGACTCTCACTTTATGTTATTTAAGTAGAAAGAATATATCTAATAAAATCAAATAAGCCAAATTAACTCATCTTTCTGAGATGTCCTCACTTTTTTTTTTTTTTTTTACTTTGTACTTTAGCAAAAACAAACAAACAAACAAAAACATTTGGACAGTAATGAGAAGTTTGGCCCAAACTAATCAAAGTTTGATATGTAAACAACTTCAAATTTCACATAAAAGCACTTCAACTTTATGCAATGGGTTTAGTTATAAATATGACTGAAATGTTAGTAAACTTTCATGATTTTCGTTCAAGGAAGACAAATCTTGGTTATTCCATTTTGTTTGTTTAACATTTGAATACCTGGCCCTCTCTGAATCCACAATGAGGACAGGACAGAAAAAAAAAAAAAAAAAAAAAGCCGATTTCCTTGATTTTGCATTACAAGGGTATCTCCCTGCTTCTCAGCAGCACCTACTCTGACATCAGTAGAAATCACTTATGTTCATAGAAAAGATATCTGGTCCCTTAAGCTCGTTTCCATTACCTCTGTCGCTCTGTCCACTGAGAGCACTTTTCCTGAGCTCCACAACATCAAGGTCACAGCCAGGATGAAATGTGCACTTGCCAACCTCCAGTCCAGCATCTAAGGGTCACATACATTCGGCGTAACATGATTAGTTTGGTATATAAAGATAGAGAACAAAACTCCTACAAAGCTTATTATAGATAGGTGATTAACCAAATTATCCAGTTTCTATATGCTGGAGAGCACCTTTGCAAAACTTATGGTTAACAGAAGCTGTCAATCTCCCAGAATGAATTCTACCAACACTTCTTCCCATGGAAATGTAGATTGAAGTTGTGCAGCTATAATAATAATTTAATTCAAAGTAATCCAAATCTGAGAAATCTAATTTGTGTAACTTTTTCTTTGACTGTCTAATCCAGGGCTTACAGCCTCCTCTCCTGAATGGGAAATGTGTAAAGTTGGTCAGGTATGAGAGAATAAGGTCTGATGAGATCTGTGGTGAACCAGAGAGAATGTGCTTTGTTTAAAAGCATTTAAATTCAGAATGTCATAAACACCACAGATCCAAAAGAATATCTTTATGTCCTTGTGGTATAAAAGAATTTCTTAAGCAAGAGTCATATAAAAATTTTTAAATTTGCCCTGGCCAGTTTGGCTCAGCAGTTAGAGTGATGGCCTGCGGTCCAGAGATACCCGGGTTAGGTTCCTGCTAAGAGCGCGTACCTTGGTTGCAGTTTGTCCCCAGCTCTGGTTGGTTGTGCGGTGGCAGCCACTTGATGGGTCTCTTTCATGTCGATGTTTCTCTCTCTCTTCCTTTCTCTCCCTCCCACTCTATCTGAACAAAAAATGGAAAAATGTCCTCGGGTAAGGATAAAAAAAATAAATTCTTTATGATAAGATACAATAAACCAAATAAATTAAAAAGTGGAATATATTTTTACTACATATAAAAAAAAGATTAGCACTTGGAAAATTTAAATAGGTCTGACAAATAAATTCTAAAACTAGACACCCAATTAAGTAAAAAATGGACCCAAGTTTATACAGAGACTGGTATCTGAAATTTTATAGCCTCATTGTTTAGAATAGTAAAAAATTAGAATCAACCCAACTAACATACTCAAGAGGAAATGGATTCATTAATTGGGGTATATTTATACCATGGACTTAAAGCAAATTACTTAAACATATATGTATCTACTGTTAAAACAAAGGACCTAAGTGTTATATGTATTTATATGCATGGATTAAAAAAAAAAAAAAAACAGTTTTGGAGGAATTAGATTTTCTAGAACATTACCTATAGCACACTGCCATTTTCCAACATGGAAAATAGACAAAGTAATTCTATATGTTTAGAAATCTATACATGTATTTAAAGTATAAACCAATAGAACTTGATTCATGCCTATGATTGCCTTTGGGGAGAGTAAGAAGCAAATAAGATTATGGAAGAAACATAAGGGACTCTCTCTCTCTCTCTCCATATCTATATATATCCTATGACAATATATTACATCTTTAATTCTGTGTGGTAAGCACAAAGATATGTCATTTGTACAGTTATGATTTTTACATTAAAACCCATTATACATCCATTTAAAGCTTATCTATGGTCTATATCAGCCCTGCTGGCCACCAGTTTGGCCACTGATAAAGGGGGAGGGAACATTATGGGCTGTGAGTCACAACAGAATGGGCTGCCTTTGCCACCTAGTACGGCACTGGGAAGTCCCCCAGTCCACCTTTTCTGAGTGAGAAGTCTCAGTAAACTTCTATGTCCCTTAAAAAACCACTTGGAAACCTTCTGGGAACAAAAAGAAGGGGGCTCTAGGATGGATGTGAAGAACTGGAGTTGTGTCTTGTTTTTGCTTCTGTGGTAGTGTGACCTTGGGCGTGTACCATTTAATCTTGTTGAGCTTTATTTTCCATATTTGTGATGTGAGGAATAATTCTCACCTCAAAAGAGCTTTCAAAGGGTTAAGTTCATTCATGTATAACCTCTTTGTCTCATATAGTATTTATAATTTATAAGTGAAAGGACATGTATGAAATATTGCTAAATATGTCTTTAACAACTACATTCTCTCTGGTATGACCCAAGATTTTCTTTCTGACACTTTCTTAAACTATTGTTACTATGAAACCTCAGCGTAGATTTCAGTAATAGATGCTATCTTCTAGAAAATAGACAAATTATTGTTTTATATAGACAGAGTAGCAGCTGTATTAACCACGTTTATTTAGACTTAAAGTGAAGATAAAATACTTTACGATTGTCCTTAACATTTATCTGTCAAACATAACTTTAATTTTCATGGAAGTTACTCTAAACTAGTTCTTCATTATGTCTTCAATTGACCTATTTTGGAATCTTGTCACAAAATGTTAGTCACAACTGCTTCTCTGTATTCTGCCCTTTCTGGAAGGGCAGTAAATTCTGTGTTCTCTTCCTGACAAATCAATATTTGAACTGAGTTTTTTGGTAGGTATAAAACAAACCCACAATAAATCGTGATTATGCCTCTATATTGAGATAGTAGAAGAATAACAAGAAAGAATGTAACATTATCTGGTAAAAATACCAACCAAAAACTGGATTACCTATTCCTTTAAAAAATCAGTTACTGAATCATATTTTTTTTTTTCTGATTTTGTTGATATCTCTTTGATTTCCCTCAATAAAAAGGAAAATATGTTAAAAACATTACTATTTTTAAAATTATTTCATATTTCTGGCATCTCTCCCTCTTTTTAAAATAGTTCTTTCATTCAATCAAAGATAAACCGCAATTGTGATGTTTTCCTTCCTCGTTTTTTATCATGTTAAAAACAGGTTACAAAGTATAAAATTGCCCAATTTTATAAGGCTTTCCATGTGGATTTCCTTTAACTATTTTTATGCACATTTTCCTAACCAGGTTTCTCCATCTCTACGATCTTATAAATGGCACAGGATGACGGGTGTTTACAATATTGATGATTATGTCTGAGGCATATATTTTTGTGCTTGGGTGTATATAGGAAAAAAGTCATAATGTATCATCTTACAGATAACCACATCCTGATTATTTGGATAGGGAGATGTAAAAATAAATGCAGAGTTTAAATACACACATTTAATGGTTTAAAGCCATGCTTGTAGCCAGTTAACCAAAAGGCCATGTTCCTAAATATGGCACTTGGTACACTAATGAAAACAAACACCCTGGCACCTGCCACACAAAAGACATTTGATTAACTAGTTGGAACTTGATTGCTACAAAATTAGAAACAGAGGAAATTATAGGGAGGGAAGGAAAAGACTAGGTTCAGCTCCATTTCCCTATTTTGTTGATAGTGGATAAATATAGCCCATGATTTAAAAATCTGCTCAGCCCATGCACACTCCAAATCACAGAAAAAACACTCAAAAAATGTTCATTGTGTGAATACACCAAAGTGGAGGTGTTTACAATTTTTTCAGTACACCAGTAATTTTTGAGTAATATTTGAATACTATGTCTTTGGGTAATGAGGAGTTTCCAAAGAGACAGTGGGCATGAGATCTGCCTTGCAAGACTTGGTGTGTACTTCATTCATTTTTAGCTAATTGGTCCACTGTGTGCACGTATTTTTCACATTTTAAATAATATTGATGAATAAACAAACATCTTACACTGGGTAACAACCAAACCTTTGTGTCAAAGACTTCACATTTAAGAACTCATTATATCTTGAAGGGATCTTCCAATTTGTGACTGGAGTGGGTAGTTGATGGAGCAAGGGGGGTGAGGTGTGACATTTGATCATTTAAGTCGGGGAAACAACATATACTGAACATTTCTTTAGAACATTGATAGTACATTGACATAGAAAGACTCCGAAAGTTCAGTAGTGAAGGAACTGATTTAATTATGTTTAAGGCAGCATTAAGTGAGAAGTCTGTTAAAATGAAGCAAGATATCTGGTTTATTGAGAATCAGTATGGCAATAAGTCATTGTTATTGTAAAAAAAAAATCTGTTAAGTGGGTTGCGGCAGCAAAAACAAAAACAAAAACAAAAACGATTGAGACTTACTGAGCTAAAAACAAAAGAACAAACTGGGACGAGGGGTGGTGTTAGAGGAAGAGAGAATTGGGCTAACAAAGAGAAGCAATATTAGCCAGTGTCTAATCTAATGCACTTTTTAACTAAAAACTTTTTTTAATCCTCACCTAAGGGCACACTTTTTATTGATTTTAGAGAGAGGAAGAGAAAGGGAGAGAGAGGAAAAATCAGAAACAAAATATCATGTGATAGTGAAACATCAATTGACTGCCTCCTGCCCTCCTACACTCGCCCTGACTGACATCGAACCTGCAACCTGGTTATGTGCCCTGACCTGGAATCGAACCAGCGAACTTTCGGTGTATGGGAGGATACCCCAACCAACCTGGCCAGGGCGTATCTAAAACCTTTTAAATGAACACTCAGCCCATGTGGCCCAGTGGACTGAACATCATCCCATGCACTGAGAGCTTCTGGTTCCATTCCTGGTCAGGGCACATGCCTGGCTTGCAGCTCGATCCGTAGTGGGGATCATGCAGTAGGAAGCTAATCGATGTTTCTCTCTCTAAAAAAATAAAATCAATAAAAACAAATACACACAAAAAACGTTTTAAACGATCTGCCTTTGAGGGCTGGTGTTGAAGGAAAACAGAAAACAGACTATTCTCGGGTGATTAAGGAAATTTCTCTTCAGCAGTATCTGACTGATAGATAGCAGGTCTAACCCTTAGACACACATAAGAAGACTGAGTTTGGGGGTGAATCTTGATAACTTCTGGAATCATTTTCCCTAATTTCTTGATTGGAAATATTCAAAACAGACTGTACTCACCCCGATTTTTAACAAAAATGAAAAATAAAGAGCTTAATGATAAAAAGTTTAAGGAGTTAAAAAGTAATTAAATTTTAAAAAATCTTTTCTTCCCACTTTGACAGAGCACAGACATTTAAGTGAGATATAATAGTACATGTTATAAATGATCCCAAGTTCAGACTCTAGGAAATGACCAGGTGTCCATAACACTGCCCACAACCTTCTTTCTCTGAAGATGATGGTGATTTTCTCGACAAGAAGCAAGTGGGC